ACTGAGTCTCCCTAACCCAGCTGCTCTTGATAAAAATCGCGACGTAGCTAGAGCAATATCAGAGAAAACGGAGCACACATACGTTTGGCCAATTGATACGAACGCCAAAGGCGACCTGAGTAAGTATCGAATGGATAGCCGGTTCATCAATGAGGAGACAAAATGAGATCTGTCTCTGAGCATGTGGGTATGAGAAACTACACCATTAGCATCGTTTGATGCAAGCCCACAGCGAATGGGCTTTGTATGGCAAGTGATTCAGGGAATTGTCTACTTGACCGAGTGAGAAGAGCGGGAGTTTTCACAAGGTCATGATCAGGTCACGCGGTGCGCCCGGCGAGGGCATTGCATCCATCCGTATAGATGATTGAATTGCAAAGAAATTCTATGACAACAAAAGTTAGAAGCATCGAGATCACCCTCAATTCCATTGCGAGGCTATCTTTGGGGCACAGTTGCAAATTCTCAAATGCCTTGCCAGATCTTAGAAGAAGTGACACTAAGCTCAAATTGTCAATTCAGTTCCCAATGGAGCCACATTACATGCTGGCCCCATACAGTCAGCCCTATGCATGTAACCACGGTTTCCAATACAATAGATAAAGTCGTCAGTACGGCCCATATACGTGAATCGGTATTCTATTCTTAGTTACCAGAATAAGCTATCTCCGGAACAGGCTTTTACATATTACCTAAGAAATCATCCAGCACCGGGTGTATTTATTAACTCGCTTCTCCTTGATATCTTCATTCTTTCATCACCCTTACCTTCACTTTAGAGGATGCTAATCGAAGTCGCAATGGCTAATGCGCACGGGTAAGAGACCAAATAGGGATAACGTGGAACTTACACGTCGATGGACTCTCGTCGCACAGAAGGCTAATCATCTGCTGTATGCCAAACCCAGTGACAATCGGCCTACTCGACTTTCCCAGTGGCCTGAGCATGCAGAATACGATTGTTCCCGACGTGTGCTCGCTGGATTGATACGTGTCACATAGTAGATGGGAGACGTGCACTGAACTACCAATCAAGTTTGACATAAGACCACATGTGCAGATAATCCTGCGAGGAACTTTAGCCCTGAATTGCTTTGGCAGGACATTGAATATTCCAAACATGGTATGTGTGGTGCGCAGACAAGTTGTGACTATGAGAGCATGCCAAAGGTCGCATTTTTTTGAGTGAAGATATATTTCACATCGCGGCATACAACCACAACAAAGGTCCGACAGGACCCAAAGATTTTACACTCGGCAGTTACCACCAAATTCAAGCTCGTAACTTTGGCCAGTTCATTGACAACAATCCCTCAATGCGGAATCTGCTAAGCTCGATTTGCTTATGCTTCTCAGACGGCTGCAAATCCAACCACGGTAGATCATCATGCCAAGGTAGCTCAACTGACCAGGATAGTTCAAACTAGCCGGGGAAGGTTTCTGGTTGTTCCGAAATGGAAGACCAGCAGCCAGAGTTACACAACACACAAAGATTGTGATACCTAATCTGCTAACAGACTTGCTGCAGGGTATTTAGTTCCCGATACTTCTATTGAACGTCCAACTCGCATGGCACCGCAGTTGTTCACTCATTGCTCCATAGAATGAGCGACCATCAGGCTGCGGGAGTCTCCACTCCAACGGGTATCACAGCCGCTTACCTCAACGAAGGGGGACGTGCGCGATCAAGGGCGTTATGAACCTTATGCAAGGAACTGGGCACACATGGACTATCATAATGTGAACGCTCGTGGACGCCCTGCCGCCTCTTATCGCGCGAGATATGCTAGCTAGGGGGGGCATGAGCTTCTTTAAGTGGAAAGTCCGGGGCAAAGAAGGTTGGGCTCCATCGGGATGATGTCTTTCCCGTAAATTAGGCATGGGAAGAATTACTGATTACGGGAATAGTTAAGCGTGTTATAGGGATCAAGGTTCGAGTGGACGGGGCTGAAGATGGAGAACCTACTTAGTCAAGAGGAAGGAGGAAAAACAAGAAGAGGAAGAAAACAAGAGAAAAAAACAGAAGAAGAAAAAAAAAAAAAAATCAAACCACACAGAACCAAGGAAGGACCACCACCGACGCGGGCGATGCCGATAGAGCCGAAGCTCCTCCCAGCAAATGACTTCCGGGCGCCGGTTGCGGCCAATGACCGAGTCGCCCTCGCGAGCGTCGCATTGCAAATTAATTTCAATGACGATGATCCAGCAACTCTGCATCAGTTGGACTCTGCACCATCCCAGACACTGGAGTCATCCGCGGCTGTTTAGTTCGAATTAATTCTTGGCCAGGACGCCCTGGAGCTGGACTAGTTGGACTATTGCCTGAGCAGACCTTCCTTCTTCCAATCATCCCTCACGGCGGCTTTTCCTCGATCCGCGCCTTACCGATTTTCTCCTCCATCTCCCCCAACTCAACTCTCACTTCATCCTCCCCTGGTGCCTTAGTCGGTTACTGCTTGCTCTCCTCCTCTTCCTCTTAATCTCCGCTACTTGTATTCTCTCTTGCATTGACCCCGCTTCTGTATTTCTCAGCAACTGTCTGTTTAGTTCTCAAGCCTTCCCCGGCTTCCGATCTTCTCGCGTCGGTCCTTTCCCCCATAGCCATTCTTAACGGATTTTTACCTCGATAAAACAAACCCCCCTTCACGGCCGACTATTGAGACGCGGAGACGTTCCAGATTGATTAGGATCTTATCGGCCAGTTAATTCGGAGCCAAAGGACCTGCGTCACTCCCGAGCGATTGCTCAGCACGATATCCGACCGAGGCAGCGGACAGGAAAGCGCTGAGCACTCGACAACGTGTAGCGCAAGGGAAACCACGGCCCTTCCAGTGTGACCCCTCTAGTGTTGTTTAAAAATGGCAACGCAAATGCAGTCGTTCTACACCCCCTCAACCTCCACACATATCTCGTCGCATGCGCCGGCTGCAGTGGATGAGCTGATCAACAAATACTCTTCCACCATGACGAACTCTCCTTGTTCGAGTCATTTGTCCATGAAGCACCCCCGGCGCAACATCTTGCAGCGATCTGTCGACCGTATCCGGCTGGAATACTACCGCTACGAGGTTACATTCGGACTCTATGTGATGACGCCAGGGGAGAAGCTGGTGGCCAACACCTTCGTGATGGTCGTCTTGTCCTTGCTGTTCTGGGCACTGCTGGTCTATTTCCCCGCGTTGCTGTACCAGAAGCTTAGCCGTCTCGTATGGCTGTTGACCGGACACAGCAGCGAGGAAATGGGTGCAGCCTTGGGCATCCTCGACTCGCACGTCAACTCGATATCCACGCCCTCCAGCTAAGGGAATCACCTGGCCATTGGTTAAGCGTATTTGCCTGACCGACATCATGACTATCTTTTTTTGCTCTTGGTTTGTTTGCTTTTTTTGGTATAAGACAACAGGGTCTGCCATGATGGTAAGTAATCGCTGATTTGAGTTACACAGTGCGTTGTGCAGCTGACGATTGAGGGTTGGGATAGACCCTGTTGTACTCGGTACATTCGATTCAAATGATGGCGTTGCCGTGGCGTTCCGGGACTACTATGATCAACCTTAGCGCGTTGCTGCGCACAGACTTAATGAACTGAACGGAAAGGCATCGATTTTTAATGCGAACACGCGGACCAAGCGTGTAGGACGGCAAGTAATGTGGCATTCCACCCCGATAGAGACGGGAGCACCCGACCCTTCAGTCCTGGGTTGGGATCCCGTGAGTTTGGATTTTTGGTTCTACCTCCTTGGCTTGTATAATGAGTCGCTCAGGACAGCAGGGTCGGGGGAAATACGATGTCTCCCAGATCGGATTCCACACGCGAATCGATGTATAGATGAACCTCGTGTGGGTTAGGCGAATGGTATTGTTAAATGTCTAGTAATGCTTAATGTCAAATATGAACCCGTGTATGATTGGTCTGCAGCAAGGGATGTGATTTCCCTCATTAGTGTTGTTCGTAAGTACTGAAGTACTAACTGTGTAAGGAAGCATGCGTGGACACGAGCATCCGATCGGGTTGATAATAAACAGGACATGATGATGACAAGGCTGGAAGGGGATGTCGGTCAAGAGCAGAAGAGCAGACACACTGCTGCACACAATAACTCATTGCTATAATGTTGAAGTGGAGAGAGGCATACGCCAACGATAACCAGCCACAACATGCCCAGCCCTGTCTTTAAATCGTGGTGGGGGGAAACACCGCCATGATGCAACGGGTCACTAGTACTAGTACTGCTCTGCTGTGCCATAGCCTCAAAAGCCATTCACGGTCGCGGGATGTTGCGTGGCCTGCGGGAACACAACCAAACTGACGCTTCACAATGACTGGATCCGCGTTGCTCAGTCATCGGGGAGTGTTTTCCATCCGGACTGGTGGCTGACGACGAAGTTTCTTGGAGATCAGCAGCGCCCAAAAATAGTCGCCCGCCCAGACTGAAAACCGCCTGCCTAAACTTCGTCCGGCGTTCTTTCTTCCCCATCTTTTTATTATCTCACCGGCTTTTCGTTCATTTGTCCTTCTCTTGACAGCTTGACCGTGTTATTCCCCGTCCTCGTCTGTGTATTTTGGGGGAAAAGAATCTCTCGTTACTTTTTTTTTTCCCTTGAATTCCGCTGGAGAATAGATAGATCCTTCGTTTCGTTGGATCGTTGGGGGCCATTTGCCGCAGTTCAAAGTCGGTTCCGGGTCAGGGGCATTCTCTGATTGATTGTTTCAGCCCTGCTTGTTGCCCGCCAAACGTGCCGTCGTCATCTCTGCGAGACAACCCCTGTCAACAAACCATCCTCTTGTTCGCAGAAGAAAAATAAATTTCTACTGTTTACTACGCAACCACACGAGCGGCCAGCCAGAAGCTTACCGGACAATCGCTCGCACTCGGCCATCACACTGACCTGATTGACACACGACCTCCTTGTCTGCGCTTTTCGCCCGCCCGGCTGTCCATTCAATATGGCAGCCAACAGCTACTACCACGGCGGTTACAGCAACAACCCACCTTCCTATGAGCAAGCCAATCCTCACTTCGATAACATTCCGACCCCAGGCCATCCTGACTTCCACACACATCCTTACGAGCCCACGGCAGCCGACCCTCAACTTCACCACAGTCAACAATCTCTCGGTTCCGACCAAGCATATGCGGCCGGTGGGAGGCTGAATGATGAACCCTATTCTGAAAATATTCCGCTGAAGAGCAATCAATATGCAAATGGATCTCCGCCGCCGAACTGGATGCACCAGCCGACTCATTATTCGCCCACCCCTGAAGATATCGAACCACCGGTCGCTCCGACAGCGCGGAGGAACAGGAACAGGAAGAAGGGATTCTTCCAGAAGAAGATCCCGTGGGTAACATATGCGTTTACCTTGGTCCAAATCATTGTGTTCATCGTGGAATTGGTGAAGAATGGTATGTCCGGCTGGCAAAGAGGTCCCTTGCAGTCTATCTAACAATTCTGCAGCTCAATTTACAGGCTCTCCTATCGAGACGAAACCATCCTTCAACGTGATGATCGGGCCATCCTCGTACATGCAAATCTACATGGGATCGCGGTACACACCATGCATGAAGAACGTGCCTGGCATTCAGAACGCCAACGAAACAATCCTATTCTCTTGCCCGAATGCCACCACGTCGGCGACCGAGTGCACACTGTCCGAAGCGTGCGGTTTCAGCGGTGTACCGAACCCTCATCCACACGGATCGCTTGACGACAAACCGGCGCCCAATCAATGGTTCCGGTTTATTATCCCCATGTTCATCCACACCGGATTCATCCATATCGGTTTCAACTTGATCGTGCAATTGACCATGGGAGTTGACATGGAGCGGATGATCGGCTGGTGGAGATATTTCCTGGTTTATGTGGCCAGTGGAATCTGGGGCTTTGTTTTGGGCGGCAACTATGCCGGGCAGGGCGAGGCGTCGTGTGGCTGCTCTGGTGCTCTGTTCGGTATCCTCGCTCTTTTCATCTTGGACCTCCTTTATACATGGAAGGACCGCGCTTCTCCTTGGGTGGAGTTGATCATTATGATCCTGGGTATTGCGGTGTCTTTCGTGTTGGGGCTTTTGCCAGGATTGGATAACTTTGCTCACATAGGAGGCTTCATCATGGGACTGGCTCTGGGCTTGTGTCTTCTTCGGTCGCCTAACGCGTTGCGCGAGAGGATTGGCCTGGCGCGGAACCCGTATGTTGCCATGAGCGGCGGAGCAGGCACTCCCACGCCCGATGACAGCCAGAAGGTGAATACTGGGCCCAGCCTGGTTGATTTCCTCAAGGGACGTCGGACTCGCACCGGAGCAGGCGCCAGCAACAACAAGTGGAACCCAGTGAACTTCTTCCGGGGTCGGAAGCCACTGTGGTGGGCATGGTGGTTGGTTCGCGCGGGTGCCTTGGTCGCGGTGCTCGTGGGCTTTATCCTTCTGATTGTCGATTTCTACAAGTACCCCAAGTCCAACTGTTCCTGGTGCTACCGGTTGAGTTGTCTGGTAAGTAACGCAATGCTGGTGGAATACGCTCATGCTAACTGTCGCAGCCTGTCAATGGATGGTGCAAAGAAGGCCAGTTGACGACGACAACGACAACGAAGACCTCCTGAGCGACTACATTCCGAAATTTTCTTTCATCACTGTGTTATACTCTCTGGTATATGTTTGGTCTGGTTTCTTAGGATATCCTGTCGCATCTGCGGTTATCATATATTGAGGCAGTATCAGCGGCGTTTGGGATACTTGTTGGTGCTGTAGTTGCACCAGCGACTCATGTTTATACCATAGTATGGGATGGAATTCCCAATGATAAATGATTATGATTGCGCGGTAGTTGAGAGTAAATAATACCAGGCAGCTGTTTTGTGAACAACCAACAGGTGCCGAGCCACAATCTAAATATAGGCGCATGTGATCGGCAAACCGTGGCTGTGCGGTACGGTACATGTAACGTAAGACTAATGTGGTGCCTCAGATCGCCAGATCCATCAGTTCCATTCCTTCCCTCCACTTCCGCTCTCCCCGTCATCTCTCATTCCTACTTTACTCCTTTTTAGACTCGTTTATAGTAGATTGTATCATCCAACTGCTGTACATTTGAGTTGTCACCGCTGCGCTGCTGACACTACGCCCTTGTATATTCGGTTATCGCCATGATTTGAATCGTCGCTCGCAACGTGGATGTCATCTCGCTGATACTCCATACTCCATATGACCATGGCAACACTGGCAGCCTCACCTCCATCCTCGCCTTCGTGGCCGAAACGACGTCCGCGGGCCTGGGCTCTCCGCATTGAACGCTACTGCTGCACGGCAGCATCATTCTTCCCTCTGGCATTCGTCTACAGCCTAACGACATGGGCTGTCTGGGTCGAGGCCAGTGTCGGCTTCAAGCCGTCTGAGAGTGCCTGGATCGGTGTGTAGCCGTGGTTTTCCTTGTTTCACTCATTTGCTTACAGACCTACGAACTAGGTATCCCAAGCTCCTTCCTCGGAATCATCCTCTACATCTGTCTCAACGCATGCTACACGGTCGCCGTCTTCACCGATCCCGGATCCCCCCTCACTCCCAGCGGCCGCGGTCGACATGAATACAGTGCACTTCCAGTGACCGAATTACCACAATATACCGCCTACACCGTCAGTTCGACCGGTGGATCCCGATTCTGCAAGAAATGCCAGTGCCCCAAACCGGACCGCGCGCACCACTGCTCGACATGCAAGCGCTGCGTGCTGAAGATGGATCACCACTGTCCATGGCTGGCGACATGTGTCGGACTGTATAACTACAAAGCATTCCTGCTGTTCTTGATATATACCTCGATCTTCTGCTGGGTGGATTTCATCGTCGCGGCGCTGTGGATATGGACGGAAATGCTGGACGACAGTAAATATATCGATGTGGATAAGATGCTGCCGATCAACGTGGTGTTGCTGGCCGTGCTGGGTGGTATTATTGGTCTGGTGCTGTCAGGGTTTACCGTCTGGCATATCAGCCTGGCGTTGCGGGGAATCACGACGATTGAGTGTCTGGAGAAGACCCGGTATGTGTCTCCGTTGCGGAAAGCGCTGGATCGCCACCGCTACGAGAATGTGCTGGGCAGTGAAGGGGGCGATCGAGAAGGCTTCGGTCACCGGCTGCAGGACTACGGGGGACAGATCCTCGACGCCCACGCGAATGCGATCCCGGGCGTGACGCGGGCCGAAGAGGGCGAGGAACCGACTCCTCCGCCCAGTGTATCACCGTCCGGGATGCGGATGTCACCCGCACAGCAGGCATTGTCGCGATCATACGCCGAGATGGAGCGCCAGCGTGAGCACGACCGGTATCAAAATTATCTGGACGAGGAGGACAGCGAGAAAATGCCATTCGCATTCGACCTGGGATGGCGACGCAATCTGCGGCACTTGTTCGGTGACCGCCCGCTGCTGTGGCCAGTGCCGGTGTGTACGACGACAGGCGATGGCTGGCACTGGGAGCCGAGCGCCAAGTTCATGGAGGCGCGCGATCGCGTGCGGCAGCGACGGGAGCGGGAGGCGGCGGAGCAACAGCAATACCAGCGGGACTTGTACCAGCGGAACATGAACAACAGCCACGCATGGGGTGCATCTGCAGCAGCCAACTGGACGCCGAACCAACCACTGGATGTGGTGCGCGACCCGGAGCGGCCGAATACAGGGGTGTCGATGAAGACATTGGCGCCGATGTCACCTCGGCTGCGGGGGCAAGACAGCGAGGGAGAGATGAGCGAAGAGGAGATGCACGGACGAGAGGATGAATGGCGGAGCTGGGATTGATGTGTACCAGTATATATTAGGATGATAATGCTTAAACGCGTAGAACTTTTATGAATGATCTTAAACTACGGAGTTAATGGAATGTAAATGACACCTGATTAATAAGGCATGTAAACGTCAGGCCAACTGGCCTATCCGGATCTCCACCTTATCTATATCTCCGTACACCATCCATCAATCACATCATCATCTATACCTCACCTCACCATCCACCACCACATACACACCACCTACCTACACAAACACCAACCAACCGATCGGTGTAACACCACCAACCCCAACCTAAACCACCCAAAACCCAACCTTCAAAAAAACAAAAAGAACAAAAAAGAACATGTCCCCCTCGACCCGCCGCCTCCTCAAAGAATCCACGGACCTCCAAACCAACCCATCACCCTACTTCCACGCGGCCCCAGTATCCGACAGCAACCTCTTCGACTGGCACTTCACCCTCCTCGGCCCACCCCCTCCCTCCCCCTACGCCGGCGGCATCTACCACGGCCGCATCACCCTCCCACCCACCTACCCACTCCGCCCGCCCAGCTTCCGATTCCTAACGCCCTCGGGGCGATTCGAAGTCAACCGCGAGATCTGTCTCAGTATCTCGGGCCATCATGAGGAGACGTGGCAGCCGGCGTGGGGGATTCGGACGGCGTTGATTGCGCTGCGGAGTTTCATGGATGGAGATGCGAAGGGCCAGGTGGGCGGGTTGGATGTGGCGGATGAGGTGAGGAGGAGGTATGCGAGGGAGAGTAGGGCGTGGAGGTGTGACGGGTGTGAGGGGAGTAAGGGGAGGGGGAACGAGGTTGTTATGAGGGAGTGGTGGGGGGTTTGTAGGGAGAGTGGGGTGGTGGTTGAGGGGGAGGATTTTGGGGGGGAGGAGATGAAGGGGGAGGAGGATAAGGTGGTGGTGGATGAGGGTGAGGCTGCAGCTGCGGATGCAGGTATATCTGCAGATGTGGATACGTCTCAGGTTCGGGTTCCTCAAGCTGAGGTACAACCACAACCACAACCGCAGCAGCCCCAACAACAGCAATTACAACATACTCCCCCAGCAACAAGACCTCCTGCACCACCAGTGCCAGCTGCTGCTGCTGCTGCTGCTGCAACATCTCAAGATACACCCTGGCTCGACCGAGCTATTATCGGCGTCATCATCGCCCTAGTAGCCATGATCTTGCGACGTCTGACGCGCGACATGGACTTGGAGTGATCCTGATATCCTCTCTACTTTTGTCTGTGTTCCACATGAAGCAATGGTGTTTGTTTGGCGTTGGATGGTTTCTATCAGTACCCTGGGTTATTAGGTATGGTTGTGTATATTAGGTGTTTTGTGTTAGGCTTGCCACAGGTTGTGTTTCGGGGGTTTAAGTGGTAATTTCAATGTGAGTTTGTGGTTGAATGTTCGAGATGTAGGATGTAGGATGTGGGTGTGGTAGTATGGTATGTTTGGGATGGGGGTTAAGTGTTTGTAGTTCAAGGATGATTGTGTTGGGAGTAATAGAGCGATTTAGATAGAAGTCAGGGTATTTCGGTGTTGTAGGTTTTGTATGGGATAAGATTGAGGTAAAATTGACGTCCAAATTGTCTCTGGCAATAAATTGGTCATTTACATACATCAAGTTTGAGCTACTAAACACTCACTAAATCTGTATCTGCCAATGTACATTAAATATCACCCAATACCATCCACCACCATTCTCGTACTACCCACCCCGACTCCTGCGTCGCCACACCCACCCCCTCCAACCACTCCAACAGCAGCTGCACCTCCCACTCGCCCATCGTCGGCTTCAACATCCCCGCTATCACACTCGCATTGATCCCCGGGCGGGTCGCCACGCATCCCACGACCGCCGCCAACGCCATGTCCCACAGCACCCGGACAAACGACCCGTGGATGTCGTACCACAGGGGTATCTTTGCTGGCAGCTGCGTGGCCGCGTCGACGCCCTGCGGACGCGGTGCTACAAGGCTTCGCATCTTCTCTTGGATAGGGTTGCCATAGACGTACGACTTGGCCGGTCGCACCTCCATCGAGAATCGCAGCTTGTCCTTGTCGATCTGCCGCGTCAGGTAGCCACCGTCCGTTAGTCCGTACTTCTCGCGCGGCACATCGCGCGGGTGAAGCACCACACGACCAGTGGCAAATAGGTTGATGACTACAAGCATGTCGCCGTCTTCTGCGTTGTAGTCGATATCCATGTATCCTTGCTTGCGCAGTGTCGGGTCCAGGATCTCGGTCTTGAATCGCTGCGCTCGCCGCAGCTCCGTACTTTCGATGACTCGTCGCCGGCCCAGTGCCAATAGGAAGTACTCTGTCACGTCGTAGTTTCGGCCTGGGGTAATGCGGCCTCGGTTGCCCATGGAGAGTGCTCGTTCTGTTACAAGAGACTGCAATGCCTGCTGCACCACGTGCTCTCCGAACATCTCTAGTGCCTGTCGCGCCTCGGCTGGGCGGTACTTTTCCTCTGGAGTCACCACGTTGGCTCGCACCCAGGTCTTGACCACTTCCAAGCGGGACAGCTCCGCTCTCCGCGGTTGAGGTCGGTTGGATTTCTCCGGCAGAGGAGCAGCGAACGGGACACCGGCGATCAGGGCGCGCTTGCGGCCCACGGTTATCGACTGGTTGGTTTGGTACAGTTCATCTATTGGCACGAGCGCCTCCTCCCTTAGTTCAAAGACGCTGTCAAATTGTTCTCGCGTTGCAGGTAGATCCGGGAGCTTCTCGGACTTGGGGGCATCTAGTTTCGTATTCGCCCACTCGATAACCCCCTTCCAGTTATACCCTTCCAAATTGTCGTAGTCAATGGGAGGGACCTCGTTATTAGCATACGCCTCGATGAACCTTTCTTGGAAATCGCCTTGCAACTTGGCGATCTGCAGGCGATATTTTCCAAGTATTCCTCTAGCTCGGTGAATAACAAAGGCTGGGTCCAAGTCCGGAAAGCAGCAGCAAAGAAGGGACCAATCAACCAGACGAGCATCGGAACCTCCGGCTAAACTGCGCACAGCAACAATTGCGGCTATGAACTGCTGGACTAGTGTCCGAGGCATCTGCGAGACAAGACGGCTCCGGCGTAATGGCTGGCGCGAGACGGGTTGAGCCGAAGCGAGCTTATTCCCGTCAGTGGCAATGCTCTCATTCAACTTGGTAAGACGACGATGCCCAGGCTCTGTGGCAGTCTCGGACCGTCTTCGCCGCGGTTGTGAAGATTGACGTTCCAGACGCGCCTTATGTCGAGTAATCATAGGTGTCACTTCTGTAGCTACGTCGCCAGTCTGCTCGTCGACATCGAACCGGATATCGCCTTCGATGCCAGGAGTCTCCATGTTTTGAACAGTCTGGTTGATATAGAACAGATCCGCGCTCTTTCGACGGAGCAAATCCTCGTGGCTGAGCTCCCACTTGAGAATAGTATTGTTATCCCGGAAGAACTGGCGTGATCGTGGGTCAGCGTCTCCAGTGTCGTCCATGACTCGTCTCCGCGTCTGGCTGAACAGATCATCAAGGGAATGCGGTAGGTCGTGGGTTTTCTTTCTTCCAGCCGCTTTCGCGCGGTCTCTTGCGGCTTGTATAGCCGGAATTCCAGCTTCCGTACCAAAAGTTCCAGTGGTGGCATGGAACGTCGGCTTCGTATTCATGAGCATCGCATGGGGTGCTATAGTAGACCACAGTCGCCTCATCTTGCGCAGTGAAGCCAGCCCTGCCTCCACCTGCTGTCTTTGTCCTCGTCTGGGCCCATCGCCCGCACGCCCCGGTCGGGAGATAGATGTCAATGCGCGTGGATCATCTTGGTCACCGCGACGACTCAGAGTCATGAGTCGCACGATCTCTGCACCGTCTGCTGTCTCATACTCCTCTCCCATACTCAAATGTTGCAACAGTTCGCTACGCAGCATATGGCGTCGGCGCTTTTCCACGGCGCGAACCATTGCCGGCTTTTGGTGCAGCTGTACGGTAATGCCCCGTTCCACGGGGAGCTGTGAGAGTAGCTTCTCATCTCTGCGTGGCGTACCCCGATTGCCATTCTTTGAGATCTCTGGGTCAATTTCAACATTAGGGGGGAAGTAGTATCGATCTGTGGCCAGCATTTCCTTTTGCATATCCAGAATCATGGGGTCGTCGGGCTTCATGTCAGCCTTATAGATAATCTTTTTTGTTACCATGACACCCTTTCGATCTCGCCCACTGAAAGTCAACTGCCGGACTTTGCCGGCATCGACCATGGTTTTGACGACCGACCTGATTGTGCGCAGATCTGGTATTTCCTTATGTCTCTTCTTTTGCCAGGCTGTCATGAATGGATACCAGATTTCTGTGCCCATAGGATACGCGCCGCCAGCTTGTTCCAGGATATCCATGACAATCGACCTCCGGAGGACAGCGACAGAGCCACCTTTCTCTGCGAATATTCTTCGCTTTCTACCAGAAGGCCCAGGTGCTTCTGGGGCACTCTTCTTCTGTTCTGTCGCTTCGAGCGCAGCTGGTTCAGCCAAGCTTTGTTGAGTCGTTTCGTTTGTCGTAGCGATTTCTGAAGATTCGTTGGTAACGGCACCTCTCTCTGATGGCCTTTCCGCCGCGGAAGCCTCAGGCTCATCTTCAACGGCATCATTGCCTTTTCCGGTTTCAGCGGTTGACTCGGCGGTTGTACCTTTTCTGTCCCGTAAGGCTTGTCCAGAGCGAGCCCGTTTAAAAAAGGTTTCTATATCCCCATTGCGAGTGGCGGGTCGGCCGCTGCTCCGCGGGAGTTTCCGAGACGAAACGTTATCCAATATAGAGCCGTCCTCTGTCTGGGAGGGACCTTCTTGTGTGAGCATAGGCGACACTGCTCTTTTTCTTTTAGTTCGTCTCAAGGGCGACGTCTGTGTCGCTTCAGGTTCACGCTCGAGCGGTTCTGCAGTCGGCGAACCATCTTGCGAATCCCCATTGACTTCCTCAACACGCCGGTGCTTTGGCGCATTTTCACTCTCCAATCCATATTCGGTATCTGATCCATCCTGACGCAATCTCTTCGATCCTCTAACAGAAAGAGCTGGAGAAGTGGATTGGGGTGGGAGACCATCATCAACTGCAGGAGAGGACTGAGTCCGTCCGCTGGCCTGTAAACGAGTCTTCCTGGATACAAGCACAGACTCGTCATCTGGCTCGGCCGTGTCTTTCTGAAACCAAGGCAAAGTTGCCAGCTTTGGTGTCTTGAACACGGCGATCCGACTGATTTTTGGCCGCCCTTGCCTCTTGCCTGCCGGTCGCCGACGTCCACGAGTAGTAACGTACACACCCGGCCCGGTGCGTTCTATGAGCAAGACGCTGTACTCCGTCCAAGTCTCATCCAATCCAAGAGCCTCAAGCTTCTCCTTTTCAGACATGCCCCGGAATACTTCGGGATCAAGTTGCGACTTCCTTGGGCGGCTTTTGACCGGTCTCACAGAAGGCACATCAGCCATCTCTGTATCAGAGCCCTCCTGACCTTCTATCTTCACCCTAACCGGCGTGGCATAAGGCTGCGCAGTTGAGTCACCAGAACCCCGAATACGTTGATGGATCGTGTATGTTCCATCCTCCCGGCGTGCCGCTACGGCATCGCTGCCTGAAAATACGTAGTTTGCCGGTTTAACGACCGAGATACACTCCAGCAGTGTAACGTTCCCATCCTTGCATAATTCCTTCTTTGGCACAGCGAGGGTGAGCCCATGAGCATCAAGTTGGGGAGCGGCATCAACAGGATGAATGTGTGCGCTAATTGACTTTGCTTTTTTGGGAGCGAACTCAACCGCCTCCCATAGCGCCTCCCCTGAATCGACCAGCTGCTTGAAGTTCATTGCAGTATAATGCACATAATGAGTGATAGTGCGCTGAAGCGCCGTGTCTCTCACAATAGCCAGATGGCGCAGGTGCAGAGGTTGGGATAGCTGCCAACATTCTACGAGACGACTCACTGCGTTCTCCAAAGGTCGTCTAAAGTAGCCGCCAAAACAGGCTCTCAGGATTCCCTGATGGCTTCAGTCAACGTTTGCTATCACAGTAGTATGTCAGGTGCTTACCTGATTGGTGATACCATCAGTCCCTGTTCGATCAACAATCTCAAAGATCTGATTGTGTATGCTCCTATCTGGGGACCAAGAAGGGAGAATCCGACCAGCCTCTTCTACTGCTTCACGCTTCACTAGACCGATTGTGCCGTTGCTGTTTGGCTGTAAAGGGCTCTGTGATGTGCCATCTTGCTCCATATCATCCTCAATGTCGAGGTTATCTTCCTGTTCTAGATTGGACAGTATGCCGCGACTGAATTCGTTAAATAGTTCGAAGTCTCTCTCCGTTGGTTCTCTTATAAGCATGACGCAAGGGTGGAACTTCTTCAGAGTGTCGGCATACTGAGACAAAGCTCGAACACGTTTAAGAACGCCAATACGTTCAAACTTCCGAAGCGCACGGGATAGGATCCTCCAGCGCCAGTGATCTTGAAACCCAAGCTTCTGCTTCAAGTCATTGCGAGAAATAATTTGATATTCCTGGAGGATCTGGAAGAGTTGATCAAGAAACTCTTTGAAATCGATCATATTCTCCTGCTTGGTCGCATCTGCATCCTGGCCAGTCTCCCTGTCTACAGGGGCATGCTCTGGTGTCAAGAATTTGCGCAAGGTACAAAGACTGGTACGAGTAGACTTGACTTGAATGGCGCGTTTCTCGATGTAGCCCTTTTGCTGCAGAACATCCGTACGCTTCGGCACGGAACGTTTGTCCTGGCCGCTGACTCTGACTAGTTCTGTCTGCGCAATGCCGTTGTGCTTGCGCGATGCAATAATAGAGAGAAGAGCGAATTCCGTGGGGAACACCTTGGTTTCATCCGGTCCGTGACCAGCCACTGCGAGCCAGGTTCGCTCTTTGGACACAAACACCCGGGCCGAGTCCGATGCTCCGTTGGCGGATTGGTCTGTCTCCGCATTGGTTTGACCACGCTCGGCATCTCGGAGGCTGAGATGATTGCCTTCTCTGTCTTTGCCTACTGATACCTCTGGGTTCTTCATTAGCCAGGACCAGACCTTCTCCTGGAACCGGCGGTCCACAGTGTGCGCGCGGCCAACTGCATCTTGCGCCGCCTTGGCATAGAAAGTATCGATGAAGGTTAGTATATCGGCAGGAGAAGCGCCTGAAGGAGGTTAGCTGACTAGTCATAATAGTACTAAAACCAATGCAAATTTAGGCGATAAAGTTTATGCAGGTATCCAAAGGCAAGGTTCGCCGTTGAAAAGACCCGAGCTGGATGTTACCTCATGGTCCAATCAGACGGATGGCGCATGCAGGGGTTGGCCATGTTGGTGGGGATTTTTCGAGACCGTCACGACCGAAGGAAAAAGAAAAAGACGAGCGAGCAACTGACCTTGGTCACCGCAGAGGGCAATCTCCGCAAGGAGAAAATCAATCAAATCCCGTAAACTCGGGGCCATCTTTGGCCATGTCAGCGTCCAGACTGTCTCATGCAAATTTCGACCAACACGAATTGACGTCAATCCATCTCCCAGACAACGGGTTGGGGGAGCAGAAAATGAAGGAAGATGCAGAGGCAGAGACGCGATTCGAACCAGCGTCGCGGAGGAAATGCGAGGTGAAGCCCGAACACACCGCGGGGGTGGCGGACAGCTGTCACGTGAATCAGATGCAACATATATTATGTAATTTACTACAATATTTGGCGCATAGTTAGATTATGCTCTCCAAGTGACTGAAGATAACGATTCACAAGTGAGACTTCTGATGTCAAAGAGGAATCCTATTCATATAACTAGGATCGATCAGTGTTACCGCACTTTCTTAGTCAGTAACACGTCAGCCGGGCCTAAACGGACTAGGAGTGGGTAGACAAGAGGGGGTGTAAGTATCACCAGGCGTCACTAAGCTCATGAACCTCATAATGGCTCAAATCTAGAGACTTCTGCCACGCAACATGATTGTGGTCAAGTTGAAATCCTACGTTGGAGAGCTTTGATTTATGAAGATTAGTCCAGTCGTAACGGGAATCGTCCGATGACCTTACAGATTGCCTGAGACCCAATCTCCCAGACGGCGGATGAGAGACCTGCCTGGTATATGAGGCCATCAGCTGTCTTCTCTAGTGAGTCGACGTTAGTAGCTTCGAGAAGATGGTAGTTGCTCATTACTGTCTCCCAGCTAGCAACCGCTGTCACTTCATCTGAGGACTTCTTGCATATTAATTTTGAACCCATTGGTATGTATCCGGGCACGGTTCTGAGACAGATAGCTCAATTGGAGAGAAGTCTTGCTGCAATCACTAGATTGGCACAATAATCTCGCAACTAGATAAGGGTTGCTCTCACGAGAAGATCGTCTTCTTTTGGCTCAATAGATCGTAGAAGCCGGACATATGGGAATAGATAGAAGAGCGATGGAAGTTGGATACTGGAATTTCGAGGCGATGCAGTGCAGTCAACGTCACTTATAACGACAATAATTCGATGTACCTGCCTTCATGACCAAAGTAGTGTGTGGAGAAACAGGCAATTAGCTTCAGCTAGTCAGTAAGTGAAAATATCACTATTAACTGAGAGAAGCATTACAGCAAAGATACCGTGCTAGCTGCATCATCCAGTGGTACGGCCCGAGCTACCCTGAAATCGGGACGGGGAGCGAGTGGAGACGCGGTCGGGAGTGGATCAAGAGACCCTTAGATAGACACTTCATAAGTATTCGATGTGCATAGCAAACTGCAACTGCTAGGATTGATGATCACCGGCTATTCTGTTTAGAGTAACCCCGGCACATTCCGAGTCTTTCCTGCCAAATTCGGTCTGTACCGCCTCAAGAGGGAATGGAATGGGTCAGCTGATGCTCTTAAGTTATTCCTCTGGAATCATGTTATGCGCATCCACCAAGGGCATAACCAACTCGACTTAAGCCGATTCTATATCAAAGCTCCCTTATAATCTTCTCATCCACTGCTACTGTGGAGGTCAATTTAATGTACGAAATGTATGGATGATACTATTTTCCTTCCGTCGCTTGGATGCCTGTTCCATTCCCTGCAACCGCTTGGTTCACATTTCTGCGAGAGAGATAAGCATACCCCAGAATTTCCTGTATGTATGGGAAAAACGATGGTGCCCTCACTCCTTGCAATATTCCAGGTGAAGAAACAAAGAAACCACGATGTCTCACATATCCTGTGCAGAACCGGTCTGGAGCGCGGGATCGACAACTAGCAGCATGACATCACGGCCCGGTTACGTCAGGCATCACGGCCAAAACCAACCGATGCCGCCGATGGCAAAAACACTTCCACTGAAAGCCTTGGGCTCGTTTACGAGGCGTCCCTGCCGTCGTTTCCGGCCTTTCTGGCTTATCTCTCGTCAGTCAGATTGACTTCATCTGGGATTTGTCCTTCCTGTTCCTCCCATTCCTATCTCCGTCCTCTCCCGTCATGTCTTCCCTTGTCTCTCGAATACTATTACCATAGACCCGGCCATTGCAGATTGCGTGAGACTGACAGATTAAACTTCGCCCACCCGCACCACAACTGCCAACTCAATGGACGAGGAATCGAGGCCCGCTGCGTGTCCTGAGCCTCCACCGCTCCCATACTCCTTGCGCTCGAGGAAGAAGTCCATCGCTATCTTCTGGACAATCTTCGTGATTGATACTCTGGCCCAACCGCTCGTCCTCTACTGGGCGCTCTGGTACGCCACTGATCTTTCGCATAATCTGGGTACGTGAAATCGGCCTCTCTACCTTATTCCTGAATCAGTCACTCATTCACTGTCCTATAGTATTCAGTATTGTGACGGCTTCGTTAGGAGGTGTATCGGTATTTGAATACTTCTATCGTCTCTACAATTTGTTCCGGAAAGACTCGCGAGCCCGGCCATTGAACGCTAGGAAGGGATGGGTACGCCTTCCGTGGATATACCTTGTATAGAAGTGGGCGCTGACCGGATGTAGCTGGATTTCTTCCATATCAATTTCACCATCGTCTGGTTGATACTGGCGATTGAGCTGATTGTGTAGGTGTTGCTAGCCATTTTTTCACAACTAGACTAACATCGTCACAGAGGAACCGTTCCAGAAGAACCATATGGTAAACCTATCTCCTCGCCTTATTTGTGTCCCCGCTAACTCGTGTGGTAAATAGTCCGACTAGTCGCCATGGTCCTTCCGACGGTGATGTTTTACTTCGGTAGCATGTACCTCGCACTCGACATCCTTCGTGTTTGTGGTGTTAAGGCGCCTTTCCGGATCTCATCAACACCCAAAGGCTCGACAATGCCGACCGCCCTGTATGTTTTGATCGAGGATGTAGTGGCAGTTGATGGGGGTGGTGGTCAGATCTACCGATATGCGCTTCGCACCCGATACCTATCTAGCCCGTACTTCCGGCGTATGCTGTTCCAGATGAACTGTTTCTGGGCTGGGGGATCTATCGTTGTCGCTGCCGCCATTACGGCAATTATATTCACTGTTTCAGAGCCAGTTGCATACACTGTGAGTGAACTTCAAGCAACTAAAGCACTTGGTACTAAGTGATGTGTAGCTAGGATGGTCGTTACCGTTCGCATGGGCCGGCCTCTGGACGTTGGTCACGATACCTTGGGTCCAAAGCGATCTTCGGCGCGAGAAAAAGGCTTGGGCAGAAAACCGGGGCCAGGGAGGTATCCCGTACACCGACGACCCTGATGCGCCCAGTGGTGGTCGGACCAGGCTTGAGGCGATGCAGGATCATCTGCCAAGTTTCGTGCCTTGGTTCCGAGAGAAGCAGGCTCCCCCGTCTACACCGAGTGATCATTGAGGTATGCCGAAAGCCGCAGGGCCTTACCCGCCGCGACGCTACCAGACCGCTGAGTGATGAGATAAGGAAATTGAAGAAAATTTTGATGATGGAATGTTTACGACGGCTTGAGCCACTGTACTATATACACCGATACCCTGCTTGTTCCCACTTTCATACATGATCTGTTATGCTGTCTGGCCTGTGTTTGGAGACTGCATAGCCATCACACACTCCTTGATCCTGTCGATAACAACATGTCTCCCAGGGTTGTTGATTTCGCATTGGCATCACTTCTGCAGCTAGCATAGATAGATATGATACTTCGTACCAATTCAACTAAGCACTCTGCATCTCGATCCGCTCGCAGCAGGTGTGCAAAGCCGCTGGTCTGCGACGGGTTTTGCAATTTCTCTCCTTAGGAGTATGCACGGCACCGCCTGGGTATATTGTCCGCTGCGCACAAGTTCGCATCCCTTCAAGGGGGGTTGCGCAATGCCAGCGTCCGCACTGATAGTCGGACGCGAACCTCGGCTCCAAAGGCATAAGCATCCGTGATGATTCGGACGTCCCAGCGGCAGACGCTACCCAGCACGTCCGACAAGCCAGCTAGACAGCACCGCCGTATCACGTCACTGAATAATCTCCCAAAGACCCTCAAGTCGACGGTCTCAGCGCATAAAACCTCACAGGCAACAGCTTAAAATTCTTCGGAAACCCCAATTGCAACTCCGACGCAACAAGCACCAACCCAGCTTCCTTGAACAGCGTCCGAAGCTTCTCATCCGTCCTGGTCACACTACTATCCTCCTCATCAAACATGTCCAACCCATTCGGATCCGTGGATTGATTCTCCTTCACGATCATTATCCCCGTCTCCGTCAAAGCCTCCCGACATCGAACAAAGTACTCCCTCAATTGCACATCCGTAAGATGACCCACGCAGAACTGCGTCCAGATCAAATCGTACTTGTTCTTCTCAGGATACCAATTCTCCAGACCCATTGTATAGATATCCCCGACAACACCCGTCCGCTTCAGCTCCGAGTTCCGAATCACCTCTGTGAACTTCTCAATGGGCTCGACGGCATCGACGCGCTCGCATACTTGGCTGAGGAGGCCCTCCGTGACGCGACCCACGCCCGCGCCGCAGTCCACGCCCAGTGGGAGCTTCCCTTCCGTCGGGCAGTTGGGGATCATGCGACGCACTTTGCCGAGGAAGGTCTTGGATCCTCGGAGATCGATTCGCGTGTACCATGGGTACGAGCCTAGCATGCCCAGCATGGTCTTTGTGTTGGCGGCGACGGAGTTCCAGTAGCGGAGGGAGGCGGCATGATCGATGTGCGAGTCGGGAGGGGCATCGCTGGGGGTGGACATGGTGTGCGTGGCTGCTGTTAGCAGTTGTGTAGCACAGCGCAGCGCGGTGCAGCTCTATAAACAAGCTTCAAGTAAGTAAGTGAGTCTGAGTACTCCTGCAAGGGATGTATCCCACCCGATGTGATGTTGTTGATGCGGGATAAAATTTCCCTTATCGATCGGCTTATCTAATCGGTGCAGAACTACACCAATCGATCATCCACGATTCCTATCGGAGTCAAGCGTCAACAGATCTCAACGGCGTGGTTCAGTAGCGCAGAATTCAAGATAGAAGATGGATGATTCACCTGGCGACGAGCATATTGCGTTCATGCAATGGGCTGAGGCGTCGGGGATCAAAATAAAGGGCGTCACCCCGGCACGATTCCCCGGCCGACGGTTGGGGATGAAGGCGACGCGAACAATAAAAGTAGGCTGCTGAAATCTGTACTCCTAGACCTAGGGATGAGATACTATGGTACATTGCTAATTTACCTAGAGCAATGAGATTATGCTCACCATTCCTGTGGACCTCATGCTGACTATCGACTCTATCCCATCATCATTCACATCGCAATTTCCCGCTGGGACATCAATACACGGGATAATGGCTGCGTTTCTCACACATGGCGATCCAGCTCTTCTGAAAAATCTCGATGCTTGGCGGAGAGTATGGCCCTCGTTTGATGAGTTTGAAGATAGCATGCCGGTCCTCTGGCCCGCGCATCTTCGGGTATCGAATTCAAGCTACGAGGCCAACGCCAACCCTTCCTCAGCAGAGAAACAAGACCAAGATCAAAATAAGGGAAAAGTCCTCCTTCCGCCCTCTATCTCTGGAAAATGGAACACCTTCTCCAAAGTTCCCGTAGGCGTGGACTACGACACGCGATATCAAAACCTACTCAGCCAGCAAGAAAAGCGCCTGAAAGATGCCTGGGCAAATGTCTTGAAAGTGTACCCGGAGACTGAGTGGAAGACGTTCGCTTATTACTGGTGCATTATCAATTCGAGGAGCTTCTATTATGTCTCTCCTGGGAAAGACGAGCCAGAGGATTGGAATGATGCAATTGGAATGGTCCCGTTTGCGGATTACTTTAATCATGTTGATGATGCGGTGGGTTTATCCCTTGTCTATATACCATCTGTGCAAGAGTGTGTTATATTGATGATATGCAGGCATGTGATGTTAATTTTGACGGAAAGAAGTATACTTTCCGAGCAACGCGGCGATACGGTATACTCTATCCCCTTTCCCAATGTTAATGAGCGCAGAGGACTAACATCATTCAGAGAAGGGCGAAGAGGTCTACATGAGCTATGGCAACCACTCGAATGATTTTCTTCTAGTTGAATGTCAGTACATTACCCTTGTTTTGAATTTACACCTTAGAACCGACCAACAACTGACCATTAACTAAAGATGGCTTCACCCTCCCCACCAACCCATCCGACAGCATCTACCTCGACGACATAATCTTCCAAGATCTAAGCATATCCCAGAAACAAGAACTAGCGAAGCAGGAGATTTTTGGGTGAGCATACATACCCTCTCCTTCAACCCTGTGCCATGATACACGATCACAAAGCTGCGTACGCGATACTAACTTATATCAAAAGAAACTACACCCTCTCCCACCCCCTCACCCAAGAAACCCCCCTCCACTACGCCGCATGCCTAAAATACATGAATCTCCGGGAGTGGCGCGCCTACGTGAACGGACGCTCAGAGCGGGGCGTCGACGCGCAGAAGACCGCGAACGTGATACGAGGCTGGGTAGAAGTATACCTGAAAGAGTGCATCGGGACGATGGAAATTATCAAGAACAAGCTTGAAGACCATGGAGAAGAGATCGGAGATAGCGATAAGGGAATAGGATCAAGAGCTTGGGAAAGAGAGAAGTTACACATGTTGCTGGATAGATGGGGGCAGATTAGACGGATATGTGAGGGCGTCCTCGAAGAACTGGAATAGTCTGCATATTAGAGCTGCATTGGCAAACCCATTTAGAAGGTCATTTTCAATGTTAGTACTAACACCATGATATACTCTGCATCCCACCCATACATACCTTCAAAGAAAGAAATCATTCATATCCATATTCATTGCATCACTGAATCCTTACTGATTCCATGCTTGATTTACATCCTCCAGCCAGCGACGCTATAGTATCTAAGTTACACAGAGCCTGTTCGATACGTACCACCAAACCGGTTAAATCCACTTTGTACTACAGTTTAAAATAAACAGACTCTGGTAGGAATATTAAATGGCCATCAACTGCGATTACCAGCACCCAGAAACAACCGAGAGTCGATACTAGACAAACTTGTGGAAGAATCCGCTTGCATACGGAGACAGTTTCTCTATCTGACCTGAGAATAGTCTTCTCGCTCTACCATACTAACTAAACGGCTCATCCCAGTGATAGAAACAACATGAACCCGTACTGCTTCAAACATACCTAAATGGCACTCCCCAATAACATCACGCAACATCCCAAACTAAACCCATATACTAACAAACAAAACCTTAAAACATTCCCCTCGACCCACCCACTCACTCCTAATTATACTTCCTTCCCTCTGCCCCCATTCCCATTCCCACTCATTTACCTTGGTGCCTACTACACATACCAACCGCATCCATTGACATCTGGCACCAATTCACCGCCCTCTCAGGAACAACATGTGCTCTCACAAAGTATACACATACATGGAATGCGGACATCTGGGTAGTGATGGTCTTGACCGATGTTGGGAAGCTACGCAAAGGAATCAGAGTTGTCCGCGGACAAGTTGGGATAGTCGCCATGCTGGTGCTCGGTCGGGGAAATGTCATGCTTGTTTGAAGATTACTCCGTCGGGTTCGACGGCATCGGGGTGATTGTTGGAACCCGTGATTTCTCGTCTGTGCAAGTTGTGTGTGCTTTGGTATGGGTACTAGTGCTACCTCTATGGTAAGCATAGCGGCTGGCATAGATTGTGTCTGTCCTATCATACACGGTTTATAGATATGTTATGTCCACTGCGTGTACCAAATAACAACGAGAGCTCCTTTTCTTCTGTAACCTTTCTCCGTACAATATACACCAGCAACACAGATCAAGAGGAGAGCAAGTGTCAAACAGCGCCACTCGCTACTAATATTAATGTATTCCACACAAAAACCAAATATAATCAACTTTACACAAGAAGTGAAGTAAATCACACTATACCCCTGGAACACCTGGAGACATCGATGTCGATGGAAACAGGAAACCAAAAGCGTTGACGCCTATATACGACCCACTGCGCTGGGGGTATCACATGGCAAATGCGAGGCCAGTAATGTGCAGATAACAAATGACGGATTATAATAGAAATGTATGATGCAAAAGCCAGCGGTGAGGCAGCCAGCTAAATAGAGCGACGCGGGCTCATTTTCGAGAAGGTATCAATTTCCGGCCAAAATTGCGGATTGATGTCTTGTGACTAGTCCTATTGAACATTAGCTTGAATGCCAGGCCTAGCTCAGGCATTACTTACGTTTCTTCCGGCTCATCCCAGGTCTTGATTGTCTGTGACCTGGGCATGGCATTGCCTGAAGTCATGGGTCGAGTGGGAGGGTTGACGATTCGGCGTGATTGCTAAAAGCTGATTAGCGGCGTTCTTTACAATTGCTCTACTCAACATACCTCCCAGCGGGCATCCACATCAACTTCGCTCGCAGAGCGGGAGTCCGGTATCACCCCGCTTGGCTCGTGGAGCATACTCGACCCGAGAGAGTTCGATCGCACAAGCGGAGAAGTGCCTGTGCCAGACTTCCCAGAGCGTTGAGACTCTGAATATTCGCTGTTCGAGTCTGCGCTAGCCATGCTTTGAGCGTGATCGGACGCATTCACTGCGGTATCGGAGTAGTGTACAAGCTGGGTTGAGCTGGCCAGCTCCCGGTATCGTTTCTGCTGCTGCTTCGAAGGCCGGTGGTGTGAGAACTTGTTCCCAAG